GGGGGCACACTTTATTTATGACCACCAAGTATTTCACTAGTAAGAAGGGACAAATATCCTTTCAATTAACTACTCCTCCTTCAGTTTGCTTCAAATTTACTCTATGGGCAATCCATTTATTCACCTGCTGATTTTTTCTTTTTGTAAGGTCACGTTCTATGTTAAATTGCTGAAGTCACTCAACCAAATCAAATGTAGCTCTATCAAGCTATTCGGAGGATCAATGTTGTAATGCACCTAGCTTGACAGCATTAATCCTTTACTCTGTAATACCAAGAGTTAGACTTCCCTTTACAAATTCAAACCAAAAAGAATGACATGTTTAAAGTTTGTAAATTAGTAATAGCACACTGGGGACCTTTGTCCTTAATAATTGTGATAAGAAAATGAAAGGCATGTGATGTTACAAAATGTTTTATCTAATTCCAACCAAGCTGTTTGGAAATAAAATTAGTTACCTTCTGTGCTTGTTTTCTTGAGAGTTTAAGTCCTGTGTAAGACCAGGGTGGGGGTGTGACAAAGAGATAAAACATTGATCTATGACAGTAACTGGCAGAATTGTGTAGAAGGAATAGAAGAGCTCTCTCTCTATATATGTGCATCTTGATGAAGTGATAAGTAAGGAGTGAAAGATTCCTGATAAATTGAGCTGTACAGCTACTACAAAAATAGGGTTAAGTGAACATTTGTTTCGGTTCTGCACAGCTGTTTCTGCAAATCGTGTTCCTGATCCTTAATATTCATTGCTAGGAAACAGTCATGCAGGGAAGTTTTTGTTCAACATGAATATTTAGGAAATTACTGTTCTGTGTATGAATATTTAGTTTTGCAAGCAAAAACCCTGGCATTCATGAACAATTTTATAGGTTTCTTATTCATCATTTACTGTTCTTTTCATTCATGAGTTTCATTCCTTTAGTCAAAAAACAATAAAACTATATCTTTTTGGCAATCACATGCCCAAAAAAATGCAATAGGTTAATCTCTGTCTAATCTTGTCAAACCATTGTTTACAACAATCTTATTTGCAAACCTAAGACTTTTGCTTTTGAAAACAAATTGTTGAAAAATTCAAAATTTTATTTCAGTAAATTCAGTACATTTACTTTAATACTGAATGACATCCAGAAGGAATATATAAAAATGTATTTTTTTGAGAACTCACAAGGCCAAACATAAGCACAAAAGGGTTCAGTTAACCTATTCGATCCCTTTAAAACCCAGAGGCATTACATTTCTATGAAGAAATATCTCAAAGGTGAGATATTGATGTTAATTATTGGTTAATAAAATTACCAGATTTTTCTCCCAGGGAAGTGGGGATTTTAATGAAAAAATACTAGGAAATAATGTAGACAATTATTGTGCCAATTTATATCAATGGATGAAAAAAAAAAAATCTAACCTGTTTCTTTCCTCACTGTTTAAAACATATATTATGCAAAGATAATTTTAAGAATGTCTTTAGACTGAGCTATTAAACACTTAATACTCATAATTACAGCTTGTTGTTTTTTTCCAAGGTCACCTCCTCCTAGCTCATGAACAGTCCATCCCCATGTGCAAGAAGAAAAACAAAGGTAGAAGACGGCCTACATAGATGAATAAGTTGCTCCTGACAAAAGTCAAACATAGAAAGGAAGCATACAATTAGTTGAAGCAGGGACAGGTGATCAAGAAAGATCATAGACACACTGTCGAACCATGCAGGGATGGGTCTAGGAAAACTAAAGTTCCTAGTGATATATCTCACAGACTGATCCTGTGGCCAACATTGTTTAACATCTCAGTCAATGACCTGGATGATGGGACAGAGTCCACCCTCAGCAGGTTTGCAGAAAACTGCAAGAAGCACTTGATAGACCAGAAGGTTGCGCTGCTCTTCATAGGAACATTGACAGGCTGGAGAAATGGGCTGACAGGAATCTCATGAAGTTCAACAAAGGGAAATGCAAAGTCCTGTACCTGGACTCCTCGTGGACAACAAGTTGACTGTGATCCAGCAGTGACAAATAACATCAAGAGCCTCCTGGGCTCCCTTAGACAGAGTATTGCCAGTAGGTTGAGGGAGATGATTCTTCTCTACTCAGCCCTGGTGAGACACATCTGGTGTGCTGGGCTGACTTGTACAAGAGACAGGGAGATACTGGAGTGCGTCTAGTAAATGGCTGCAAAGATGATTAAGGACTTGGAGCACATGACACATAAGAAGCATGGAAGGCTTAGGGAGGGTTTTACCAAAATATATAAATACCTGATGGGAAACTAAAGAAGAGAGAGCCAGACTCTTCTCCATGGTGCCCTGTGACAGGACAAGAAGCAATGGGCACACACTGAAATACAGGAAAACTGTGAGGGTGATTAAACAGTGGAGCAGGTTGCTCAGAGAGATTGTGGAGTCTTTATCCTTGGAGATATTGAAAACCCAACTGGAGCAACCTGCCCTGTCTGACCCTGCTTTGAGGACAATATTGGACTAGATGGTCACCAGAAATACCTTTCAGCCTCAGTAATGTTGAGAAACATATTTTGCTCTCATAAGAATCAATCATCGCTTCAGTTGATAAAACTGGGCTAGTCTGATGAGTCTAAGACATGCAAGAGATGATTGAAGCTTTGTCTATTCTTCATGCTAAACCTTATGATAGTGCAGACTTAATTACTTTTATCAAAATTAATCTAACTCCTGCATTGGAGTGGGGAAGATATATCATCAGTCTCACTGAGAATACTGTGCAGCAGTGCAGCAGTGCAAGTGTGGATGTTCCTGTTAAGCAAACCTATGCTAATGAAAAGTAGTGCTGAAAGCCCCTATAAGTGCTCCTTTCTGCAGTTTATGTTCTTATCTCCCAACATACCGATGGGTTAGGCAATTTCTCCTCTTGTTTTCGGGGTGCATTCACCTGAAACAGTGGTACAACAATACTAAAATTACCTAAAGTAAACCTCTCCAAGCCAGAAACTATCCATTTACTAATATTTTACTTGATCAATTGTTTCTGTTACCTTACTTGTAACAAATGGATTGAATATTTATGTTTCTCTACTTCTTCCAAAAGGGTCCCCTTTTCCAAATATGCAACCAAGACAAGGAGATTAACAAGTTCTTGGTTTTGTGAACATTGTCACTGTCAGGATTTGCCTCATATTTCAGCCACGGTAGTACTGAGAATAGGAAAGCAGAAAACTCCAATATATATTTCAAAATGTGCAGATGCATTTACAAGTAGGCAACTTCCCTGATAGTGATGAGCACTAGTGAATTCTGATATAAAGTTTATCTACATGTCTTTTTTTAACAAACACTTTTAAAAGGCCTAAATTTCTCTACCAATTTTAGGTTATATAAGAAGTTCACATGAGCAAACTGAGTGACCTAGTTTGGTATTCACATCTGGTACAAAAATTTTCATATTGACATGATCGGTACATGAATGTATGGGCTATGCATATATGAACATGTATTTAATACTCCATTGTACTTGGATTTTTAAACAAGAAAACACATAAAAACTCAGCATTTTAAATTATTGAAGACATACTATCACTGTATGAGTATCTACTCAGTAGAGTAAAATATCAGTAATATTAAACTGTTTGATATACTGGTCATTCTGTTCCCTTTGATTGGGACTATGATAGTCACTATAGGTTGATCAGTGAATGCAGCAGTATGGTTGCTGTTATGTTTCAGGAACTAGTAGCTTTGTGTTTTGCTGATTAAGGGTACCAATTAAACTCAGACACCAGAGTGAAAAGGGTAGGTGTATTTTACTAGTGATAACCAAATCATGTAACAGAGTAAAACATGCAGTAAGAAAAAGCAGAATAGTGCACCTAAAGCAGCAAACAGGAAAATACAGGGTAATGCATCAAATCATTACTGCATAAGAGAGAGAATAGTGATTAAGATCCATCACCACTTGCATACATTACCATCACCCAGACCCGCAGTGGCTGGGCACCCCGGTTACAGCGAGGGTTTGCAGAGCCTGTCCCGGCAAGTGGGAAATCCTACGCGGTGCGTCCACCCATAGGTGAGGCTTCCAAAGTCGCTGTGAGTGGGTCCAGCCTTATATACCAGAGATCAGCAAGCCAGAATAGCTGGCACCTTTGTTTTGAGTAGAATATATCTGTTTTCATTCTCCTGTTGGATTCCACCCAAAGCATGGCCAGGGCTCGGGGGGTGAGACCAAGGGAGTTTCTAACAAGGCCAAATAGGTGGGTTCTCAGCCTTGAACGAGGCTAAACAGGGAAGCTGGATACATTCTCTCAGCATTTCACCCTCACTACTGATTATATTCTAGGCTGCATCTTTCCCTAGCGAGCTTACACACTTTGTTAATGATTACACACTAAGTTGGCAGCTTCTGCTTGGGGCCTGTTGTTCAGGCTTCAGTATTTCAATGCTTTAGCACTTTTTACATCAGCATAAGTGGGTTGTTATAACTTAGTACAATACCTACTAGCACAATGGCTTTCAGTTATAAAATATGCAGGATTCATCTATAGGTCAGCTCTGGCTTGGGATTGTTTTCCAAGCCTTAACACTTCACTTTG